GGTTCTTTTGTCTTAAGTGGGAACTGCTTTGTCCACAGGGAGTCTACAATAATGGAAGTGGATCAACGCAAATGGCTTATAAGAGAAAAAAAAAATTGAATTTTGAAATTGTATTATCTGTTCATATTTATGCACATTGTCTACTAGTTTGGAACTATATATGAAAATGCCATAAAAAAATGACAAAATCTAGTGTTATTATTATTTTTTATAACTATTATTAAGTATTATAATAAGTTGGTTTTTGCATACTATATTAAGTTAACTTTTATAGTTTTATTAAAGACAAGTCACTCACATATAAACTAAAATTTTTTTTAAAAAATTATCTACTTGTTTACCCCTCATACTAAAAAGAATCAAATCATAATTAATAAAATGATGAATAAATTTTTTTTTTTATCAACTAGATAAGACATGAAATAAAATATAGACTTCAAGTTAGTGCAATTTTGTTTTTGGGTTGGGCCATTGGGAATGGGTGTGACTGTTTAGGGTGTGCTTAGAGAACGAGGGAGAAATCACATTGCAAAGGCAAACCAAGTCTACCAAGTCTCTAGAAGCAACTGTGACCCTACTAGACCACCACGTGTTCTTAAATCCTAAACCATCCAGCCAGTTACGGTCCCCTTCTCTATATAAACCCCAAAACCGTTCATAGCCTCCACCCTCAACAACCACTGTAAATCAAAACCCTTGAATAAAGTTCATTTCTTTACCTTAATGTCGGCTACAGCAGCGAGGACGCTACTCAGAAACGGCAAATCCCCTTTGCCCCTGTTTCTTCGTGGCAAGATTCTTAGTGGATCCACCATTGATGTCAATCTTAATACCATCCCTAAAGATCACCAATTCCTTCAATGTTTATTCGTTTCTAATCAAAACTTGCAAACCCTCAATCCAGTTTTCGATTCCAGTGAAGTGGGTAAAGTTTTCAGATCATTCGGAGGGCAGAGCCAGTGGGGACCTGCAAGGCAATGGCGTTGTCGAGGCTAGAGGTCGTCAAAGGCGGGCGGTGAGTGACGAGGATGATAGTGATGATTCTGACGGTCATATGATTGACGAGGACTTGGATGAGGATTTCGATGAATTGCCGGAAGACGAAGACTTTGATGATTTTGATGACGACGACGACAATGAGGAGGAGGAGGATAATGATGTTAGGAAGAGAAAGAAATGATTGTTGTTAGATGATACCATTTCTGCTAATTGTGTTAGTTTTTGTGTTTCATTCATTCTCAAAATAAAGAATTGTCCTATCTTCATCAAACAAGGAATATGTGTTCTGTATTTATGATTAATCCTGAATTTGGTATTTTCATCTCTGCTAATAATCTCTAGTTCTCATCTCTGAGATCTCCGTTGCTGCTCTGCTTCATGTTCTCTGCGTTTATTGCACAGGGTACATGCTTGGGTTAGATTGAAGGAACTTACAATTGAAAAACTCCATAATGTGGAGTTCTGGATTGGTAAATAAAGGCGTGGGGTATCCTGTTACAATAAGGATTTTCCCGAGCCGGATAAGCATTTTGTATATGATCTGACCGTTGAAAGGGAAACAGAACGCCGAAATTTGGTACTGTTCACCAGAGTAACAATGTTTCTTCAACAAATGTTGCTCCATTTGGGATGTATACATCCAATTTTAAGTTAAAATTTCTTCATATTTGCAACAATTTACATGAAAAAAATTTTGACTGGAAATATCCCAGAATCATTGGACCAATTCGATAAGGTAAGGCAGCAATAGAAAATGACAAACTCTGTACAATGCAAAGGGATATGGACTCTGCATCCAAGCAAGTAATATGTCCTGGAATTCGTTGGAGTTCATACTCAAATTAATCTGTCAGAGAATACGTTTGAGTGGCACACCACAAGGTGAAATGATGTCCCAGCAATATAATGAGAATACGTTTATCTTATCACTAAGGACAATGTTGTACACAATGAGGA